GTATACACACACATAACTATACACATTACACATACACATACACATACACATACACATACACATACACATACACATACACATACACATACACATACACATACACATACACATACACATACACATACACGTACACGTACACGTACACATACACATACACATACACATACACATACACATACACATACTACACATGCACGCACGCATACCCATGCGCATACGCATACGCATACACGTACACATGCATGCATGCATGCATGCGTGTATGCACTCATGCATGCATGTATACATACATCCAGGCATACAGGCATACATGCATGAGTCAATGCATACCTACATGCATACATGCATGCTGCATACGTGCATGCATGCATGTGTACAGACATGCATGCATGCATACATGCATACATGCATACGTGCATACATGCATGCATGCAGACGTACAGACAAACGTACATGTATACACGCATACATACGCACGTCCACATGTTCATGCATACAAACGTACATACATACATACATACATACATACATACATACATACATACATACATACATGCATGCATGCATGCATGCATACATACATACATACATACATACATACATACATACATACATACACACATACATACATACAGATAGTCACACAGTCAAACGTATAAACATGCATGAGTAAATACACATACATGCATGCAGACACACATATGTATATATGCATGCAGATATACATAAAACTATACCTACATATGCGTATAAACACAAGTATCAGTATCAATATCAGAATCAGCGCCAGGATCAGTATCAGTACCAGTATCGCTTCGCGGCGGCGGACTGTCCCCAGCCTGGATACTTTTCACCGTGCGCGACTGCGGGGCGAAAGCCCGCTATGTCTCGGCAGCGCGCAGATGGCGAAACTGAAAATCGTGGGCGGATGCAACCACCCTGTGCATTCATCCGAGAGAGAGCTCTGCATCTGTGTGAGTGGAAAACTGAATATTATTGTTATGATTCATAGCCTTCTTATTACCAGTCCTTATTGCTCCTAGTATGCCTCATATGACTACTGTTGCTCTCATTCCCCGTATCACTACTCTTACAACTATTGTCCCCGAAGCCGAAATGACAAACAAGACGCTGGTGAACTGGGCTCCCCATCATCCCCTGCAGTGCAGCCGCGGGTGGCCCACCCTTGTGATGCGCCTCCTCGCTGGACAGAACAGGCACAAGACAGGACGGAGGCCGGGACCATGCCGGCTGGCTCGGTGGCAGTCCGCGGGCGGCGGGGCCGAGTGCGTATGTACAGGGCACGGGGCCAATGAGGTAGGGAGATCGAGGTCCTTAAAACGCATGGCTTCCCGCCTGCGCGTTCCTCGTCTTGGCGGCGCGCAAAAGGGGGTACTGGGGAGGGGGGAAGGCTTCTTAGAAGCACCCAGCTTCTTAGAAGGCCAAGGCCTTACGTCTACAGAGAAGGCCCGCGCCTTCTAAGAAGCAGGGGTGCTTCTAAGAAGCCTTCACCCCTCCCCCTACCCCCCTCTGCGCGTGGCCGACTCTCCCCCCTCTGCGGTCCCCCTCCGCCTCAGAGCAGCTAACTCAGGCTGCGAGGTACCAACGCGCCGCGGAGACGTGGCCGGCAGGCCTGAGCTGGGCAAACCTCGGGAGACCTCCAGGGGGCCTCCCGAGGACAAACTTGGCGTCGCGCTCAAGGGGGCAGGGGGAAGGCGGAAGGCTTCTCAGAAGGAGCCTGATTCTTAAGAAGGCGGCGGCCTCAGATCCGTAGACAAGGCCCGCGCCCTCTAAGAATCAGGGGTGCTTCTTAGAAGCCTTCCTCCATCCCCCCAGAGGATGAGGAGGAGGAGGAGGAGGAGGGAGGACGGAGGAAGAGGGAGGAGGGAGGAGGAGGGAGGAGGGAGGAGGAGGAGGAGGAGGAGGAGGGAGGAGGAGGAGGAGGAGGGAGGGGGAGGAGGAGGAGGGAGGAAGGAGGAGGAGGAGGAGGAGGAGGAGGAGGAGGAGGAGGAGGAGGGGAGGAGGAGGGAGGGAGGAGGGAGGAGGAAAAGGAGGAGGAGGAGGAGGAAGAGGAGGAGGAGGAGGCACCCTCCTCTGCGCATGACTGACACAGACCTCCAGCGGGTCGAACAGAGCCGGCTGGAGGCTCTTCGCCGGGATCGGCTGGCGGCCGTCTCCAGGCCGGGGGTCGCGGGCAGAAGGCCCCAGCAGTGGCCAGAAGAGTTGGCCACGCGCAGGGAGGGGGGCAGGGGGAGGGGGGAAGGCTTCTTAGAAGGAGGCTGCTTCTGAGCAGGCGCGGCCCTCATCTGCATCCTAAGAAGCCTTCCCCCCTCCCCCTGCCCCCCCTGCGCGTGGCCAAAGAGGCCGCGCGGTCCAGGGGCCGGCGACCCCGAAAAATGGTGCGTCGACAGAGGCCCGGCCAGAGCGCATCGAGCGAGGGGCAGCAGCCGCAGGGCGCGGACGCCCCCCTAGTCAAAGGGAACGATCGCCTTCAAGGAGTCACCCGCGACATCTTACAGTCGGCCCGCATCATAAGGAGGAGGGGGAAGGACTTGCCATCGCTCGGACGTCCATTTCTGGTGCATTTTTCGGTTTCGTGCGTGTTTTTTTTTTGCTCGATGGTCCAGGATGGTCCTGGCCGGTTCTCGCCGAGGAAAAATGCACACGTCCGAGCGATGCCAAGAGGAGGTGCCCTTTTCGGGCCCTCACGGCCCCCTGCTGGGCCCTCTGGGGCCCCCTCTTGGGGGGCCCTAAAAGGCCCCCTTTGCGGCAGCCCTCGCTGCCCCCTCCATGTACAGTCGGCCCGCATCATGAGGAAGCACGATATCTGCCGGCCCCCTTGCGGGGCCATCAGGCTGCGAGGATTAAGGTTGCTGCTCCCTGCACCAGTTCCAGTTTCCAGTTTCCATTGTTACAGTGCTGATTTCTGCTTCCTACTGTAAATTGTTGCTGTCCGCGCGAGGGGGGGGAGCCGAAAACCACCCTGGTTAGCGTCCCCCAGGAGGGTTCTCAGAATTTCTGGGAGGGCGTGGGACACGTGAAAATACAAAAGTTTCGTGCCCCCGAAGCCATAATCCCTCGCAAATTAAACTGTATTCGCGCCCCCGAGGCCACGATCCCGTGTAAATTACGCTGCACTCGCGTCCCCGAGGCCACGATCCCTTGTAATTTACGCCACATTTGCGTCTCCGAGGGCACGATCCCATGTAAATTACTCCACATTCGCGCCCTCGAGGCCACGATCCCTTGTAATTTACACCACGTTCGCGCCCCCGAATCCACGATCCCATGTAATTTACGTCATTCTGGCGCCCCCGAGGCCACGATCTCTAGTAAATTAAAACAAATTCGCGCCCCTGACGCCACGATCCCTCGTAAATTACGCAGCGGGCGCGCCCCCAAGGCCACGAATCCCCCTCGCGGAGGCTGCCGAAAAGGCGCTCCCCCTCTCCAAAGTAGAAAAACGGCAATTTTCTGTATAGATGTGCTCCGCTGGTATTCTTTTGCCCCCCCTTCGTTTCTGGAAAATTCGGCGATGGGTTCCACATTCAACCTCCCAGGCCACGATCCCTCTTAAGTTACGCCACATTTGCGCCCCCGAGGCCACGATCCCGCGTGAATTACGCCACATTCGCGCCCCCGAGGCAACGATCCCTTGTAAATTACGCCGCTGTCGCGCTCCCCAGGCCACGATCCCTAGTAAATTACGCCACAGTCGCGTCCCCGAGGCCACGATCCCCCGCAAATTACACCAAATTCGCGCGCACCCCCCACGCTACGAACCCACCTCGCGGAAGCTGCCCAAAGGCGCCACTCCTTCTCCAGAGCAGAAAAAAATAACCTTAGAGATTGCCTGAAGCAATCCCCAGCCGTTCCCAGAGCACTTCCAGTGAACAACTGGAGGAAAATGCCAAGAAGACAACAAAGCGTTCAACAACAACTTCAAGATCTCAATATGTTTTGCTCATCGCCAGCCGCCCTAGCATGACGTTCCCGAATGTCATCAAGACGGCGCCCGAACATCCCAATATAGCTCTGATGTATCCCATTATGATAGAGAGGGGGCCGGCGGCAGGGGGCGAAGCCCTTACGGATAAAGATGCAAGGGCCTAGGAAGGCCGCTTCGAGGCTTTTCGAGCGGGGTACGGCCAACGAAAGTGGCCAAAGACGGACCGAGGAGGCAAGGATGCAAGGGTACCCTTGGGAAGGTTGCCCATCCTTACCGTGCGGGTCGACTGTAGCAGCGTACATCCAGCTGGTCTGAGATGCACTCCCGATTTCACAATGAAAGCGGGGTGGTCTGATTTGGGAGGGGGCTGACTTGAGCTGTCTTGGAGCGTTCAGGGGGGTCCGGGCAAAAGGCCGCTCTTTCATGGCTGGTCTGGGGGGAGGTCTAAAATGTCTCGCCTGGAATGGTTTTGACCGTCTCGCTTGTGTTACGAAATTCGGAGTACTCAAGGGGGACGCTCGGGGAGGGCCAGCAAGGGAGAAACATCGATGGCGAAACGGGGACACATCGCCGACTGGTCGGCGACAGGTCCCCGATAGCGAAGCCGCACGTTCCTGGGCGGGATGGGCCATCGGGCACCTGTCGGCGATCAATGAGCGACTGGGGGTCGAGGCAGTCCACTCTGAGCGTATACCCATCGAACGTTGCCCATGATGCACGGAAGACATGATGAACACGTATCCTTCGGGCCGAGTCGGGATGTGTGGGCAGCCTTGCTTTGCTAAGCTGCCTTGCCCGCGCCCTGCACCGCACGCGCGCGGGAATACTGCAGCTTCTCTGGCACAGAAGAAAATCCAGCGTCAGAAACGCGTCGCCATCAGGAAAAGTGGCAAGAAGATCGGGATCACCTACCATGTGATGCGGACGAGGCTATATGCAACTGAACGACGACACGAAACGGGTAACGCGCGAGGACATCTCCATAGCGACCTTACGCGGTGACTTCCGCCTGCCGCCAGCGAAACACGCTACAACCGATGGCGATTACGCTCGACCTTGCGCGGGCAGCTTACGCGCGAATGTCCGCGCAGTCGAACCCGTTCTTCCGCGTCGCTCACCGATCGGTGAGCATGCACGAGCATGCACCTACGCCGATCACAAGAAAACTGCACAGAACAAACCCAGGGCCCCAGAAATTGCGCCGAACAGCCGCCGGCCCCGGCTTGCCCGGGGTGGCGAGTAAGGTGATGAATTGTCTGCCTCCCCTCCTTCCCTCCCAAGGGTCCAACATTCTCTTGAAAGGAAGAAAGAAAAAAAAGAAGGTGGGTCGGGGGGATGGGGAGGGGCAAGGGCGTCAGCTCGCACGCCGTACCTGGCGCTGTCATTGACCAGCCCAGCTGCGCGCGAATAGGACCTCGGACGCGGATTTACCCGATGGGGTGGGTCAACGCCGCAGCGTTCATCCAGGAGGCCCCTTGAAGCACGCAAGACGCTGCAACGCGGCACGCGATAACCCAAGCCCAGACTGCACAACATGGCCCAATGTAGCCTCCACGAAGGCCTCAGTTTGCACAAACGCGGCTTCACGATGGCCCCAGCCTGGCGGGTGCGGGGGCGCGTTGTTCTTTCTCAAACGTTGCGGCCGCTGCCGCGGTGGCCCGCTGCCACATCCGTCGGCGGGTGGTCGCGCGGTCGTCGAGTTTGGAGCCGGGGCCCCGCAGCCTCCTCCAACTTTCGTTCGCTAGATCGCAGACGCGCCCCCTCCGTCACCCTTGCTGGAACCGATGTGCTCTGGGGCGCCGTCAAAATTGTTCCTGGTAGCGTCTGGCAATGGCACTGGCCGGCGCTCGTTCACTACGTCGCCCGTCTATCCACGGCCCCGAATGTTGGGGTTGCCTGGCTTTGCGCGCCGCCTGGGCGGCGCCGCGGCAGTCCCCGCAGTAGGTCAGGGCCTCGTAATCTGCCCGTCTGAATGATGTCCTTCGTCTGCGGGAGGTCGGGGTCGCCCCGTTGCGGCGGGCCATGCCGGTCCGGGCAGCACGTGCGCAGTGGCGCTCCAGACCCACCATGCGCGGCACGGCCTGCGGCCGGCCCAACGCCGCTTCGGAACCGTCAGCCAGATCCCACGTCGCCCCCGCCGACGCGGGCAGCATCGTCACTCGCACCCAGGTCTGGGTTCGCGCGCGTCGGTCGTTGATCGGAGACGGGGCGTCGACGTGGGCGCCGATGATCTCGTTCGGAGGGGTCGGCTGCCCAGGTGGCACGGACCCTGTAGACCGCGCTACCGGCGCTGGGCAATCCTGTTCGCCGTCGGGACATTGCGCTGCCGGTGGCGCAGTCGAGACGCGCGGTGGCCTCGCAGGCGCGGAAGGGCGGTGCAATCCTGGTTCTGGCGCTTCAGCTTGTGATGCGTGTGATCCGAAAATGTCGGCCTCCCTGACCACATCGTCGCTCTAGTAACTCCGGGCAGACTGCGCCGCCCGGCCGCCCATTTGATTGGGCGCGACGGGCAGCACTCGAAGCAAGAGTTGCTGCGGCTCGTCGTCATCGCGGGAGATCCCCGCGTCGAGGGCCTGCTCGGCGGCGCCAACCGTCTCCACGTTGCCGAGGTGCTCTCTCGCATAAACGCGTCGCGACGGGCCTCGCGGCGCCCCTCAGCCCCCCCGCGCGCCATTCGCGGATCTCGCCCTTTTTCTCCACCCCCTGTCCTCCAGGCGGTCAGTACGCATCTCGACCTGACCTTCTGCCTGTGGGACTTCGCAGCGCGCCCGGTGCTCTTGCTCGTGCATGTCAGTAAGTTTTTCCTGCTGGTAGCCCTGTTCTCGCCGCGCCCGATCAGCGCGTGAATTTCTGACCTTGCGTTCGACGTCGCAAACCAGTTGTTGGCACTCGTCGCGCATGCCACATATCGTCGTCTCCATGTTCCCCCGTTGCACTCGAAGCTGCATGCGGCGTTGCATTATGGCATCTTCATCGGCCCTCTCGCTGCGGATGATCACAGTCTTGTTGTGATCATCCATATTGTTTTGCGCGGCATGTTGCTGTGTTTTGCAGTTGCTGCCCCATGGCGGCGCGGACCTTTGTTGTTATCGATGGGTATTATCCGTCGCGCTTTTCTGAGCTCCCACTGAAGCTCGCTGGCCATTTCGTCGGAGCGGTGCGCCTTGGAAGATGTCTTGATCCTAGCATGAAGCCTCTCCTCTGTCCACTTGAAGGCTCTTAGGCTTCTCTCCTGCAGGAACCCCTGATGAGCCGCCATACTTGGCGGTGAGCTTGGCGTCGCGGGCCGCGCGCATGAGACCCACCTGGTTATACCTGGCATGCGCTGCCTCACTGCGCTGCTGTTCTTCATATTCCTGAGCTGCTTCTTCTTCTTCCTCTCGGAGGTGTTTCCTGGTGGATTGAAACTGGATGGTGGCCACCTTTCTGTTTTTTTGCTGTCCTCGTTGAGCACTCTGGGCAGCGCGCCGATGCCCTGTCCCTCGCTGGTTTCTCCAGCCCGCGTCGGTCTCCGCGGCGCTGGTGCAGGGGTTCTCTTCTACGATGATTACATGTGTGGTTTGTCGGCTTCGTCATCGCCAGCTCTGTTTCACTGTGGTCGTCGCCCATTGCGTTGTCGATGTCCCACTGCGGGGCGTGGAGTTCCCCAATTTCGTTCCCCAGCTCCTCCATGTGAATATGTATATGGTGCCGGTGGGCTTTGGCACGCTCGTAGAGGTCCTCCACGGTCCTTCAAGTGTCGTCGATGTCCCACGCCTGTCTTGCTCAGGGCATGCCAGTGAGGATGATTGGTCTGTTGAAAGCGATGTGCGCGACTGCGTCGGCCCCACAGCCCCGCGCGAAGAGCAACCCGCGTTTGGCGAGCCCCCCGCCCCCCCCCCTCAAGATGGATCGTGCGACCAGCGAAGCTCGAAAAACAAATCGGCACCGCATTGAACGTTGAACTTGGGGAGGTGGGGTGGGGTAGAAAAAACGCAAGTTGACTTGTGCACGGGGGCGCAGGTAGGCCGGTTACGCGGCTCTTGGCGATAACTGTAGCGGCACGCTTCGGTTCGCTGTATTTGATACTATTACACACTTCTCTGAGCTTGGGGCCTTTCGGTGGCGACTCCCAGTCATGTGTCCAGGTGGCGTAGCTCTTCCGCATCAGCATGACGCTGTTGATGGCGTTGGTGACGTGGTCGCCGCAGTCCTGGTGTACCTCCTTCTTGGGTGGTTTTTCCTGTTCGGGTTGGGGCTCTGCCTTGCCCTTGCCCATTTGTTATTGCTATTGCCCTTCTGGCACTAGCTGTCGATGTCGTAGTCCCTCTTAGCGGGATTTCCCTTGCCAGTGAGGTTGCCGCCCTTCCCTTTGTAGGTCTGGTTCGAATACTTGTCGGGGTGGTCCTCCCGCCGGGGTCCGTCCAGGTGCAGTTCCTCCAGTGATGAGGCCTGCCCCGATCGCAGGCGTGGTGGTTCGCGGCGTCGGCCTTCTGCTTGGAGCGCGGTTCGCTGTCGATCTCCAGGGCGGGGGCGCAGTTCCCGAGCCACTCGCGGTTGATCCCCGTGGTGCAGCCATCCTTGGCGCTTGAGGTGAATGTCGTTGTGGCTGTTGGGCACTGTAGCCCGCTCGAAATACACAGATCGTGCTTTAAGTAGGACGCCGGCGTCCGCACGCTGTCGACGAAGTCGCTCATGTCAGGCGGGCGATCTGGATCTGGACCTTGCCGTGAGTATAGACGTGGCCTCTCGATCAGGTGGCAAAGTCGGCGTATATCGCGGGCCTGTTGTGACGGCGTTTGGCCCCCGCCGCGAAAACCTGACGGCCTGTCCCTCGGGAGGGGCGGGTTCGGGCGCACGCGGCTCTCCTCCTGCTCCTCCTCCTCCTCCTCCTCCTCCTCAGAAGACGCCTCATGTGCCCTGCTCCCGTCTACTTCGTCGCCGCTGGAGAAGACGCCTTAAGTCCGGTAAGAATAATCGCCGAGCCGCCAGGATAGGACCTGGAATAACTCCTAAGGTATGATACTTCTCTGCTACACCTTCCTCCTTCCTCCCTCCTTCTCCTTCCTCATGGTCGGCCTAAGATTGCCGCGCCGTGGATGTAGGAATTGCCAGCCTCCACGAGAGGGAGCCGCCCTCCACGAGAGGGAGCCGCCCTCCACGAGAGCGAGCCGCCCTCCACGAGAGGGAGCCGCCCTCCACGAGAGGGGGACGCCCTCCACGAGAGGGAGCCGCCCTCCACGAGAGGGAGCCTGATGTAGGCATTACCACGCCGAGGATGTAGGATTTGCCACGCCGTGGATGCAGGACTTGCCACGCCGTGGGTTTAGGAATTGACACGCCGTGGATGTAGGAATTGCCGCGCCGTGGATGTAGGAATTGCCACGCCGTGGATGTAGGACGTGCCGCGCCTTGGATATAGGAATTGCCACGCCGTGGCTGTAGGAATTGCCGCGCCGTGGATGAAGGTATTGCCACGCCGTGGATGGAGGAATTCCCGCCGTGGATGTAGGGGATTGCCACGGCCGGGATGTAGGACTAGCCACGCCGTGGATGCAGGACTTGCAACGCCGTGGGTGTAGGAATTGCCACGCCGTGGATGTAGGCATTGCCACGCCGTGGATGTGGGAATTGCCACGCCGTGGATGTAGGAATTGCAACAGCATGGATGTAGGAATTGCCACGCCGTGGATGTAGGAATTGCCACGCCGTGGATGTAGGAATTGCCACGCCGTGGATGTAGGCATTGCCACGTCGTGGATGGAGGAAGCTTCGCGCCCTCCACGAGAGGGAGCCGCCCTCCACGAGAGGGAGCCGCCCTCCACGAGAGGGAGCCGCCCTCCACGAGAGGGAGCCGCCCTCCACGAGAGGGAGCCGCCCTCCACGAGAGGGAGCCGCCCTCCACGAGAGGGAGCCGCCCTCCACGAGAGGGAGCCGCCCTCCAAGAGAGGGAGCCGCCCTCCACGAGAGGGGCCAACCTCCACGAGAGGGAGCCGCCCCCCACGAGAGGGAGCCGCCCTCCACGAGAGGGAGCCGCCCTCCACGAGAGGGAGCCGCCCTCCACGAGAGGGAGCCGCCCTCCAGGAGAGGGAGCCGCCCTCCACAAGAGGGAGCCGCCCTCCACGAGAGGGAGCCGCCCTCCACGAGAGGGAGCCGCCCTCCACGAGAGGGGGCCGCCCTCCACGAGAGGGAGCGCCCTCCACGAGAGGGGCCGCCTCCACGGAGGAGGGGGCCGCCCCCCACGAGAGCCGCCTCAGAGAGGGAGCAGCACTCCACGAGAGGGAGCCGCCCTCC